TATTTTTTTTTTTTTTTTACGATACTTACCTAGGTTTCCTTTAAAAAAAATTAGGGCAAAAGACTCAAATCCTTCCTTCTCATTTTTGAAAAGTGGAACTTTTAACCAGTGTTATTTTAGTATCATATATTACAGTTTTTGTTGGTATTTTAAATTGATTTAAAATGTTTTCTGTTTGAATTTTAATTTGAGGAAGTGTTTTAGCAATCTTGTTTTTTTTTTTTTTTTAACATATCTACATTTTTTGTTTGTTTTAGTTTGTAGTACTCAAAAAAATGTTTAGTAACTTTAAAAAAAGTATTTTATTTTTTGGTTTTAGTTAATGATAATAACCCTGCTTTGAGTGACCTTGATCATTACATTTGGACTTCAATTCTAAGTCTAAGGAACAAGAATGTGCAAAACATTGTCACATAATGTATATATACCAGGACATCATGTGTTTTAGAGATCTGTTTTTGTTTCAAGGAGCTCGGACCATCTTGAGCTGAGATACTGAAGTGTAAATGTCCACATAACCAAAATGTGTTGTGGGCTGTGACACACAGACAGCTGCTGTGGTTAAACCAAGTCATAAAAATACAAATTTAAAACCTGGTGGTTTTGCAATAGCATAGAGGTCACTCAAAAAATTAACAAAGTAGTGTATCAACTAATTTTTCACTTGACATGGATCGACCCTTTTCTCTTTTTCAGTTCTGCTTTGAGTCTTCAAATGCTATATCCTATAGTCAGTCGTTGAAGGCAGGAAAGCAGTCACATGCTTTGAGACTTGGGAGTGAGTGAGAAATATAAGGTGCATTTCGAATTTTGTTCAGTTAAAAGATTAATTTAATTAAACTGATTTGTTAATGAACAAAACACCACGACCACCAAAAATAGCTGATGCCTGAACCAACAACTGACCCCTCTGAACTGTCTATTTAACCTCCTTGTAACACGTTCAGATCTTTATAACTTTGACTAGTAGTTCTGTAGTCACCATGGTGACAATATCAGGAGTCTTCATCTCCTTTTGATTTATTCTCCTCGAATGGACGATGAAATTATCTATAATCTTTAGATGTGTCTGAAAATATCAGTGCCAGCATTGATACAAATCTGTAATCACTTTTATTATATAGATACCATCAGTTTGCCATTATGTTGAATTATAACAGCATCTTCTATCTACTGCTATCCATTTGAATCAATACAATGGGATCTTATTTAGACAGCTATGTTGTGATAAGATCTTCAATGTCAAGACTGCTATGTTGGGATCTTCTGTTAACCTTTGATGTCTCGCCGAGCTCTCTAATCTTGTTTTAGCATGCATGGGAAGTGAGGGCAACCACAATCCCCTCATCTGCATTAACAGACATCACATGCTGAATGATGCATGTTAATTTTTCCTCAAGAAAAAAAGTGACACTCTCCAAACAAAACACTGTTATAACAGCTGCTACATTGACAGTTGCTGACAGACCGCATTCATACCCTTGTGCTGAATGATTGTGGCGGTCCTCCAGCGCTCATATGGCTGACAGTCGATATGTTGTGTCCGTGTCCACAGGTCCCGGAAGGGAAGTGTAGGTGATGTCCTTCATAAATCACATGGGTGTCATTTGCTGGCTCAAAAGCTGGCTCCACCATCAGTGTTTTATTTTCAAGTAAGATAAACCCTCTGTGGATTGAATTCAGATTTAAACTATTTTAAAAAGTGTTTTTTTCCCCTACTGAAGCAAAACAGACAAACACATGTTACTAAGGTAACAGCCAACTTCTTTTGTGGTATACTTGCTAAGAAAAGCATCACAATTACTATTGCTCAAACTTAGCAGTGAAGTGTTAAAGTTTGATGCGTAACCTGTCTTGTAACGTTTGTGATATTGATAAGAATTATATCTCAAATTGTGCGGCTTGCAGAGAAGGGCTTTTTAAATTGATAAGTGTCTGGATTCATGAAACAAAATTAATTTTAATTGCCAATTTCTTCTTATTTTCTAAATTAATAATAAAGTTAAGAATATTTTGTTTTGCCAAAACATTTCTTAATAATGTTCTTATCTTTTTTCTTAAGATTGTTCTAAAAACAAAACTTTTTTTAGATTGTTCTAAAGATAAGAATTTCTGAAATTCTGAATTCCTGAAAAATTTTTTCTCAAAAATCATAAACATCCTTTTAAAATTATGATAAATTTCAACTTGTCTTAAATGCACAAAGGTAAGATGTTTAATTAATTTATTGAGTTGTTTAGAAATTGTGCACGATGTGCACAAGTACCCTGAAGTGACAGCAATTATCGATAATGTAAACAATGATCAGTCATGATTATGTATGAGAAGACTTTTTGCTGCAAAAATTAGTTAATTAGGGAATCCCATTCACAGGACGCATTCCCTCTAGCATGTGAGCACACATTGACAGTGGACAAAAGAAAAAGACAGAGTGCAAATGAATGCATCAGGCCACTCCATCTTGAGATATAGGTACTAAAACATGGCTGATTAAAAAACGTGACCCCAGGACTTAGAGACTTGGTGGTGGGCTCATTTGACTTGTACCAGTAAGCAACTACCAGGCAATGCCCTTGTAACCACCCAGAACACCACAGAAACGGCATACAGAAACCATTTCTTGGCAACCGCCCACAATACCATAGCTTTGTGTTGTAATGTAAACATGGACAAGCATTACTTACATTTCTTTAGAAAAAAATGCAATTAAGCTGTATGGTATAACTTGCAGGTAATTGTCTTGAGGTGCAGGACACTTTATGCTCTAAGTATGTAGTGTGAGCAAAAAGGATGATGTAAATGGGAGAAATTAATGGGGGAAATCATGAAGTCTGCATTCTGGCTAAATGCTGCAGTGACATAGCTAAAAAATATTAACTCTGAGATCAGATAATCTCATTCTAATTTAATTATATTTTTATCAGTACAATATCATTTTAAAACTAAAGGCAGATGACCCTCCACCATCTAATAAACTCTATAGTCAATAAATCCAGTTCTAATAAATCCATTTGTTTGTCTTTGTCCCATTGGAAAATGGGTGGATATGGATTTTTCTGCAGAATGACACTGGACTGTATGAAATTTAATTTCTCCACCTAGTTATATGACCAATAACCCATTACTCACCAGAGAGCGATATGACTGTGTTTCAAATGTGTAAATGTACATTTGTGACAAAACTGATATCCTTAATAATATAGCCATGGGTGAAAAAAGAAATTTTGAAAGATTTTGTTGAGAGATAGTTGAATATGAAGGATGTATGTATAAGAGCCACTGCTGCAGAATTAGGTTGCGAGATGAAGAGTGAGTTTTCACTTTGCAATATGATAACAAGATAAAACAGATGAAAATCTGGAGCCATACTGATAGTTCAAAATAATGCTTGCAGAAGGAATGATAATTTAAATTATATCTGATGATACCCCCATTGCAATTTATAACCAAGCTGCTAATATGAAACCTGAAAGTACTGAGCAGAGACAGTTCAACAGGTTTGCAATCTGATCAACAGTATTGCATATTTTAGCATTGGCAGATGTAAAAAATGTCCATCTCACACCCCCCACGCCAGTGAGGATAAAAAGCCACGATCACATTTACCTCGGCCTTGATTCACAGTAACCTTCTGTGTTCAGAAGTGGCCTTAATATCTGCCTACCTGAAAGTCTCCAGGCTAGTGATAATGAAGATAAAGTAAAGACTTTCAGTAGAAGTGTTTTGTAATTACACACAGGAGACCTGGGGTTTGCTTCAATCATAGCTCTGAGTTCATCTTTACCAATTCTGTCGTAAAAGTTGTGCTTCTACAACAAATTTACTGTAGCCATATGCTCCTTCTAATTATATTTAACAACATCGCTGAAGTTTTCATGACATGTTAAATGCTTTCAGTCACTTTATGAGCTTATCTTCAAGACAATGAAGCATGGGATGATACTAAAGTTTTTATTGATGTTTAATCTCACGGATTTATAGGCTCTAAATGAACCTTCACATAGGAAGAGTTGTGAAGTCCACTGGAAACAATATCAAGGCAATAAATGTTTGACAACTTAAGGTCTATAATAGCTTTCCACACTAAAGCACACATGCTTTAAACTAATTTTTTAAGGAGTTTTAATGACTTTGAAAATTGTAACTCAATACGGTTGAAATGACTGCCTATTCATAATGGGATACAGGAACATTATGGTGGTGATACTGTGCTTACCTGATACCAGTGCATGTACTGAGGCTGACATCAGAGTGTGTGTATCCTTGGACTTCACCATGGTAATAGCAATTCATCTGTGTGAAGAAAAGGAAAAATCTTTTCAAGTTTAAAACACAAGTACCAAATTTTAAAATTGTCCTCTTTATATTCATGTTGGTTTCATATGGTTTTGGAAAACTTTTACCATTTGCATGAAAAGTTACTTTTCCCAGTAAAAATATGTTTTTAGAAATATTATAAATGATTAATTAATAAATATTGTTATTTTTTTGGAGAGCCACACCATATGGCAGTTTACAACTTGCACTGACCGTGTCCTGTCATAAAAAGTTCAAATGATCAGATATTTTAAGATGAACTTATTGATCTTATTGACTTATTGATCTCGACACAGTCATGAGGGTCTGTGGTGGTCCTCTCTATAATCATTTCCTGTTTTATGCTACTTGCTCTTATGTATCTTTCTGCATGTTGGCCAATGCATGACTATGATATGCTGGACTAACATTTTTCAAATATTAATAAGCTGTGAAGCAGTTTAAAAAATAAAATAAGTAATAAAAGATTATGCCAAACCACTTAATAAGGTTTTCTTTTCAAGATTTTTTTAATGATGTTTTAGCACTACAGTATTAGAACAGATAACTTGACATTTTTTACTTTAATGCAAAAAATGAATGAATGAATAAAATAAAAAATAAATAAATAAATGAAAATGATTTTTAATACAGAAAATGTGTTCAACATAAAAGTAATTGTATGTTTGAATTGCATTTTTTATGTATTTTTGAATAAATGAATACGGACAAACAAAACTATGTCACTGACACAACAGCCAGATGTTCAACAAGAAAACTTTGGCCAAGAATTTTGTCCAACAGATCAAGTTGAAGTGGGGGTTATTTCCGAAATCAATTAACCATAAAATTGGATAATTTACTAACTGGAAATGGAAATGAGATCCTGTTCAGGTGCAAGATAATGTCAGATAATGTTGGTATTAAGGGATCATGTAGCATAGTGCCACGTAGCAAAAGTCATCTTTAAGCAGCTGCTTGCCGATGAAAACCACACTTTGAGGTGCCAGTAAGAGTAGTGTCTGCTGGTCTATTTTATACAAGGAAACTATTCTCCCCTGTTATGGCTGGCACAAACCCCCAAAGACCTTTCATGTGGAAATACAGGCTGGACATCTAATTGCCATCACTCACACGAATGTTCACACACACACACACACACACACACACACACACACACACACACACACACACACACGCACACACGCACGCACACACACACACACACACACACACACGCAGACAGA